TCCCTCCTCTTGAAGCTAGTCACCTGTATCTTGAGTTGTTTTATCCTTATCCATGCCAACACATCTTCCAGATTCTCTTCATCCCTGTTTTCCAAAACACACCTCCAAGTTCATTAATCCCTTTCTTTATCACCATTATCATAATCATTATTCATTCCCTCCACAGCTGTCAATCTTGGCAGGAGATAGGGAGTAGGGGAGCATTACCACTTGTCAATGCAGTTGTAATCTGTATGAAGAACTGACAAATGTGGAATACTGCGAGTTTTCTCAGAATTTTAGAGGTGCCGGTGAGTATTGTTGAAATACCCAGAGTCATCAGTTCCCAGTTTACACAGTACAGTTTTAATATCCCTGACAGGAAATCCCACTGTATCTCCAGTAAATGGTTTTGCAGTTTGTGAACCCGTTTGCAGTCAGTGATCCTATTTTTCAAATTTTTTTTTCAGTTAGCTGAACATTCTCACTACATATAAAAGTTCACAGGAAAATATTCTTCTTTTTCCTTTTCTTCTACTGCCAAATCTGTTCTTTTGGCTTCTCTTTCAATAAGAGTGACTGAAAAATCCCAAAAGGTTTCTATAATCTTATTTTCTACAACTTTTTCAGCCCCATTGTTGTAATACCTTTCTCCTGTTTGTAGTCCATCCCTCTTGCACAAATGTGGAGAGCAGCAAACCGTCGCCTTAGTACGAAATACTTTATATTCCTCTTCCACCAGTTTACTGGTTTGGTTTGGTTTGGTTTTTTTCTGTTTGTTTTTTTCTGTCCGTTTCAGTGTCTCTCACTGTTGTCTGTCTTGTTGCTCTCAGCAGCACTATATTTCTCAATTAGTTTTGAAGCCTGATCCAAAGTCCATTCAATACCATTTAAATCCTTTACATAATTTGCTGTATGTTTATGTTCCTGTTCCACAGTGACACATCCTCTACTGCTCAAAAATCATGAGTCTCTTGCTACAGTAATTATGATTACAGTGTATGATATGGATTGGAGTCTCAGTCTTGTATGCACACTATTTACATTTTCCAGATAGTCTCCTGGCTGGATCATTCATAAACCAGAGAGATAAGGCAGCAGGAGGGGAAACCACAAGAGAAGGCAGAATTCAATTTTAAAGACAAAGATGTCTTTAAAAGTGATGTGAAAAGAGGGTGATTCACCCAAAATCCCACAGCAGCTGTAGAACAGATCCAAAAAATGCATCTGTGACATCTGAGCTCCAGTCAGGAACAAAGCCACATAACCACAGCTTAATTTCTTTTAAAGCTTGTGTTAATGCCTGTCTTTTGCTTTCAACCATCCCTATAAAGTGTTTTGCAACATTCTGTTGGAAGGAGCTATATAAAGATAAATTGTGAGATAGTATTTAGTTGGCACATAAACTACTCTTATTTTGATCTTTCCAAACTGGAATTGCATTATTTTGGTTTCATCTTCAATTTTTATGTCAGCTGCAGACCAGATTCATTGCTTTTATAAGAAGGAGACATTTGCGATCCTGAGAATTTCATTGCTTCTGATATCATTTTGCCAAATGTCCCACACCACCTGAATTCCTTGCATGGTACACTGGAGGTCTGTAATATTTAACACAGAAGTCATTCTCCAATTTCTTGCATTTAGCACATGTGACATAAAAATGCACATTTTAAAGGCGAAGTTGCCAGAATTGATCTTCCCAGGAAAATATAAAAAATGCTTTTAATATCACTCTGAAGCTGAAAGATAAACAGGAACAGCTGCTAAATGTCCTTCAAGGCAACCCAAGATTCATTTCAATTACCCTGCGCAGCATACCTCAGGTGCAGCACAGCATTTTCAGGTTTTATGTCTATCGAATATAAGCCTAACACTGTGTTATTTCCTCCCACTTGTTATTGCCTCAGCATATCTGACTTTTGTGGGTTTTTTTTAATTTCTTTTCTCCTTTTTTTTAAATACTATTTTACTGCTTTAGAGGAAATGTAGTATATGTCTGCTTCAGCTCTCATTGCCTCAGTTAAAGTAATACTTGCCTGTATATACATTTTTTTTCTGCTTTCTTGTCTTTTAAATTTATTCAGACGTTGACCTTTGAGTCAAACCGCTATGCTGCCCACTTTATAAAGGCTAAGAAGCCTTGATTAATCACTGTAATAACTTGTCTAGCCTTTGAAATGACACCTTCATTTAAAAAACAAGAACAAATCCTAAGTATAGGTCTGTACTTTCATTGGTGCAGTGGATTGTTTGAAGATAGCCATAGAGAGGAGGTTCCCACTAAAAAAGGTACAAGTGATGTAACATACAAATGAAGTATTGTTAGAAAGGTGAACATTATTTTAGGACTGTAATTTTTGTGATATTTTACTGTGTTTATGCACATGTTTTCCAGTGAATTAGCTGACATTAGATGAAACAGGTGAAGATTTCAAGATTTATTTAAGAGGCACATATTACAAAATGGGGTTTTTCTAAAACAAATGATCTTCATGTCCACATGCCTTGACTACATGCAAGATTGCTCTAGGTACTAATGAGCTATTTTGGCATGGAGGCAGAGCATTCATTTGGGTCTCCATTCCCACCAATAAATCTCCTCCCTGAGGACTGTGCTCACTAGGAGACCAGATGACATGTCCTCAACACAGAAATAGGTACCAAAATAGGTCCTTCATTTCATCAGCGTACAGGCTTCCATTTGGCAGAGTGATACGCAGGACAGCTGTCTTTGCTATGCCATACTACTAACATGCAAAATTTGTCTCCTCAGCTGAGATGCTACCATGTACCAGAAGCACCTACCCAGAGCTCCTATGCCTTAGTTAATTCTGTAATGGGAAGTAGTAAGCAGCAGCTCCTACCTGACTGCACATGGGTGCCCATGGAACCTAAGGACAAAGCCCCACTTTTGCTGGTTTCAAGCCTTCCTTCAACATTTACACTAGTGTATTTAGGTTTGTTAGATCCTAAAGCATTTCTTTACCAGGTCTCAGCTGGATGCCATGGCTAACAGCCATGAGCCATAAGAGCCATGAGCCACAAATGAGCCATAAGAAGCAGCTACCTAAATCACTTTGCAACTCAAGTCTTCACTCTAACCCATTTTTCTCCATTCGCAGTATGAATAGCACAGTCAGTCTGAGAGGCTGAATTCCAGGAGCAAGCAGATATTATACCCACTGTAACACAATCTGGGAAGCGCAGTGAAAGAGGCCAAACTCTTGCCCATTTTCACTAATGTTTTAAATGAATGGAATTAATAATTTTGTTTTCCCATGATTTCAAAAAGCCAGTAGCTACAGCCAGCTGGTGGGCAGGACAAAAGAGATGGAATATGAAATGTAAAAGAAGTGCAGAGATGCACATTGTTCTCTGCAGGCTTCATGCAGAATGTCAAGTATATGTGATCGCGTCATGTTTTCCAGTACCTTTTTTTAAGGGTCTGGTTACTATTGTTTCAATTCAGAGCATGTTAACTTATGATTTAATTCTTTTCTGTATGAAACATGTTGGTGAAACTTTCAGTTGCTTTCAGTTGCTCCTGTTCTGCTCTGCTTTGGTCTCAGTCACAAACTTATTTCACGTCATTTTGCTCCAGAGTGCATCAAATACAGCTAAAATTCCCTCATATATGTAGTGCACGGACCTAAATTCTCATCCAAATTCATGGAGATGTTTAGTGAAACATGTTTATGTATGTCCACATGAAGAGATATAGAAAGGAAAAGCCCTCTCTCTTTCTCAGCTTTGGTTTGATTATTGTTTTAATTGGGTGGGAGGGGATTGAGATATTTTTTGTTTTCAGTCGAAAGGCTGAAAGCTGAGACCAAGTGTCTCTTACGTGGAATAACAGTCATTCTGTTCTGGATTTGTGAGGGGGAAAAAAATTTGTTATCCAGGATTAGGAAACTATTTTTATAATACTGATGTTTTCATTCTGAATTAATTTCAAATTCTTGTTGTGTGGTTTTAGGATACTTAAAAGGTTCTGCTTGGGGGATTATTGTTTTACATTTCCCTGATTTGCAAAGTCAAATTGATTTTCTTTATAAAAGTTATGAATGTTGTTAGGGTGCTACATAAGTCATCTAATAGCCATGTTAGAGCTCTGCATTGCTGGAGCATAGAAAATCATGTCGATTGGTTGGCATGATTGCCATAGTTCTTCTGACATGGCACATGACCTTGCTCTCACATACACTTGATAAAGCCTAGGCATCCTAGGTGAAGAATTGTGAAAAATTCACTACTTGCTGCCCATCAGGATACAGCTTGATTTTTAGGACTGTGAAGTACTTGCTTACAGCTCCCACCAGTTTTGACTGAGCTTTGGTTGCTCAAACCTGAAACATCAGACCTGTGTACTCCAGATAGTTCTGTCTCTTTCGGTTTTAAAGTGTTAATGATGAAACGCAGTAGCATGTTCTTTCTCTGCCTGCGTAAATTAGATCAGAAGGAAATTGATTTTTGTTCCCTTTTCTTTACAATATGAAAAGCATCTTCACATAATGAAGAGCATCTTAATATTTGAGCTCTGTACTCACTACTCAGAATATAAGCTGTGTGTTTCAGAAAGAAAATATTTCTTCTGATTGATGGTTTGCTTTAATCACATAGCCTTCTTTTAAAATTTTGATCTCGTAGGTTTTAAACAACAGATACAATAATGCCTTGATTGTGTTGCAGGAGGACCATTGTTAGATACTGGATTGGGTTGGAACTAGATGATCTTTAAAGACCATTCCAACCCAACCCAAACCATTCTATTCTAATCCAAGTATGTTTTATAATTTTATTTTGAACATACTCTGCTTTTTACAGTGAGATTCAGGTTAGGACAGTCTGCCATGTTACCACATCCCACCTACCAGCATGCCAAGAAGGCCACCATGACTGTGGGAGGGGTCAGTACAGAATGATGTGTCATTTTCACATACACATTACTTAAAATGCCTTTTTTTGCCTCATTTTTTTCCAGGAATCATTCTTTCACTTGCTTTCTGTCTCCTTTTCAGGTGTGGATGTGTGGAGGTGGCATGTATGATGTTCCATGCTCTCGAGTTGGACATATCTACAGGAAGTATGTCCCATATAAAGTCCCTTCTGGAACCAGCCTAGCACGGGTGAGTAATTGGGTGTTGCTGGTTTTCAATTTCATTCATCATCAGTCTCTTCATTTCCTGTGAAGCAGTTTCCAGTAAACCATTACAATGGAAAATGAATGTTTCTTTATTTTTCTGAAATGAGATGTGCAATTACTGCAGTTATTCTGCCTTTCAGAGATAAGATTGCCAGGAATAAAATAGAAGCTTAAAATTATAGGGTTGGACGTCTCAGCACAGAAGGACGTTTCATGCTGATTCAAAAGAACCTAGGAATAACTTAAGGCTTGCAGTTCTCAGACTGCACAGTGTTGTCAGTCATAGTTTTTATAAGCAGGACCAATTTGAATGCACATTTTCTTATCAGTCAGCAGAACAGGCTGAATCTCATGGAAGGGATGTTTTCTGAGGCAAAAGGACTGAGTAACAATGATTTGAGTGACTGTTTGATTATTGTGTAAAACTTGATTGTGGAATACAGCCAGCTTGGAGCTGTGAGAGTGAGAAATTACAAGACCTCTAGACAGTTCTCAAAGACTACTGAACACATCCATATCCATGAGGGACTTTTTGCTCAAGAGAAAATGTTCTGTAACTTTATGGAGATGTTCACGGGATGTCAAAAGATGGGAGATAAAGGGCACAGATGTAGCTTCCGGGCAGATACTCATATTTTTTCATGCTTCAGTTTAATCTTTTCTGTTTTAGAGGAATTTTTTTTAATAAAATGGCATTAATATTAAAGTCTGCACATTGCCACAGGGTAATATTTTATGAATCATATTTTTTCTTAATAATGAAAATGTGGTATGAATAAAAGAACGAATTTCTTGCTTTAAGGGGGAGATATCCATGATTTCAGCACCACAGGACAAGGCTTGCTGTACTAACTGCAGCAGAAAAAGGAGGCCACCTGTGTTGCTTACCTGACAGCTGGCTAGACAGAAAGAAGGATTTGCCTTAAAAGAGCATCACACAATTGAGTAATGGGATTAGTGGTGGGGATAAAAACTGTATTGACTAAATTGTGAGATTAGTATCTTCCCTCAGTATATCTGTGTACTATCAGTTGCACCATCCAGATTTTTGGACAGCCTGAATTAAACTGCTTTATTTATGGTATCCCCCGCAAAAATCACACACAGCTCAAAATAAGAAATTCAAACCTCATTCTCTGGGGGTTTTTTATTACAGCATATAGTATCTCATTAGAGAATATGCTGTCTCATGCATTACCTGTAGGAGCAAAATGCAATAATTTCTGTTTGGACTACTAGCATCTTGTGTGGTTCAGCACTTAAGTGCCTTTCATAGTGGCACTGTGAGTGCTTAGAACCATCGGGTAGCCACAGTTTGCAGCCTCCCTGTACTATTTATTTTAGCTTGATTTCAATAAATCACTCATGAAATATTACTGAAAAACATTCCCAGTTATAAAAATTATATATCTGCCCAGGCAGACTGACCACCCTCTATCTTGTGGGGGAAGATCTAGTGCTGGGTCTTACCCTTCCCATTCAAATAATGGGTAGTTTTTTCTGTCTTGTGGCAGTCCAAAACATGATGCTTCAGTAAATTTATGTAAATTTATCACTAAAAGAAACTTTGAATTCTCAGATTCACAGCTTCTTTCGAGTACAATGTTCTTTACCTTCTATTGAGGCTGCCTAGGGAACAAGAGCATCTGTATGTTTTCATGTTTGGGGCTGTCTCAATAAGAAGACAAGGTAGAGACTTTTGTCCCTGACCATCAAATTGTGTGTAGTTTTAAGCCTAACAATATTCTCTTTCTCTTATCCAAAGCAGCAAAAGAAAATCAAGGACAGATTAATCTTCAGTGTGTCAATCCCTTTGATAAATACCATTTGTGTTCTAAATAAAATGCCCCAAATGGAGCTGTTAGCCAAAATAATATTAGGGAAATATGCACAGGAGCGGCCTGGATATTTCAGCTCTCTACACCTTATGAGTATTTTATCTAAAACTTCCCTCTAGTTCAAATATATAATGAGTAACACACTCAAGAATATCTGGAAGTATTATCCCCACTGCCAAAAGCAGTACTTTTCACTACTAAATAGTTTCCACAAAGGTTTTTACTAATCCTTTTCCATGCTGTTTAAAAGAGCATGCAGGAGATGCAGTTCACAAAGGAATGAGCCCTAGAAAGCCCAGCTGTGATTGTATCAATGATTGCAAATGCCCTTCTTTAATCAAGGGAGAATTTCCCCTTGTGCAGCTTCTGCATTAAATATGCACAGATTTTCCCATCCTATCCTACAACACCAGCACGAGGGATATGGAGACTGGAATTAGGAAGAGAACAGAGCTTCTACACAAATTCAGGCATAGCCGAAACCATGCCATGGGTTTCCTTTCAAGCTGTTTCAGCTTATGTTTGCCCTTAACAAATAATCCTTAAAGTGAGCATTTTACCTTCCCTTGGGATTTCACCTGTCTTTCTCTTTTAGCAGCAAGTTTCAACACACAGATTCAGCTAGCTATGTAACGCTTGACTAACCTAGATATCTTTTTAGCAAGTTGTGGCCTGGCGTGAGGATCACGTGCTTTATGAGAGAGCTGTCAAAAACTTTGTTCTGCCTCCCCATCACTAAATAGCCATTAGTGTACCACACACTATGTATCATGACATCATTTTTCTATGTCCTTCTTATCTATTGTTCAAGATCTGCAAAGGTTATCCATATTTGTTGCTGCCACACCCCCCATAAATTGAAAAGCATACACATATGAAACACTCTGTTAGTGAAGTTGTTCGGTGGTGCAGAGTAAAAGTAAAACAAGCTGTAAACATGCATAGCAGATTTATAAAACAGATTCTGACAATCAAATGCAGAAAAAAATATGAATATTTTTTTCTGGAGATATCTTAGGATGTTGTTGCTCGCCAAAAGCAGTCAATGTTCCATTTACATGCAATTGCAAATAAAGAAATATAAATAGACACACAGATGTCAAAATCGATTCCACTTTATAACCTGGAAGCACCACATAATTATTCATTCATTTCAAACCTCTGCACAAACCTGCAGTGACTAATAACTAATTTTGCCTGTTTGTTTTAGGAAAGGCATGTTTAGAAAGCAAATCCTCCAAGTTTCAAAGTCCTATGCAAGTCCTAAAAACTTGTGAATTGTTGTACTGGATTATTTTAGTTGCTTTGTGGTATTTCTAACTATTGCTTCCCTTTTAACAGTTCTAACTAAGCCATTTTCTCTTAGCTAGTTACCTATGAAATTAGACTTCAGAATATTATTTGCATTTTCTTTTAGGTGTATCTCAGTTTATTATTTGTTTTCTTTAGTTTCCTGTTTGCTTTTTGGTTGTTTTTTTGCTATTTGTGGTTCTCTAAAGGCCATAAGAAATACATCAATAAAATCTCACTCTTCTGTAGGATATGCAGAGATGAACTCAGTTTCAAAATATATCCACAGAATTTTTTTGCAGATTTTTTTGCGCAGCATTTTAGCATTAATTACAGAACATTAGCACATTAGACCTTTCTGAAGGGAAGGGCAATCCCACTGAATTTCAAGCTGAATGCTAGCCCAGCTCCATAATGAATCTTAACCTTAAGTTGAATTCCTCCTTGCATACCAGGACATGGGATCCCAGAACACAGTGGTCCTCTGATTTAACAGGCACAAGCACAATGACATTTCTGTCATTACACAGTGTCACTAAATTGGAACTTGCATGAGTTTGGGTTCAGGAATTCAACTGATAAAAGTGGTTTCAGACTCCTACCTGAACCATTTGTTCAGCCTTTTTGTGTGGATTCAAAAGGGATCTTCAAAGAAAAATCACTGTAGCTACACCATCTGGTGCTCTGACCATATTTGCATTTTTGACAGAGCTTCCTTTAATACTGTGACTAGTGCGGTCTGATTTTTTCCAGCTGCAAACAGTATTTTGGAGTTTCTTAGAATGGTCCATGAACGTTTTATATTCAGTTTGCAGGCAGGTTAAAGAACCAAGGAGAATCAGTTAGGTAATGGCTATGTTTTGTCGTGACCGGAGTGCAAATGGATAGGTGTGGCATGCTGTTCAGAGAGCACCGCTGGCACTTTAGCAATCACCTCTGTAGCACAAAGGACTGTAACAAAAAGTCAGTTATGATTCAGCAGTCACAGTAAGCAGCTGCAACGTCAGCTTGGGACAAGCAAATTATTTAGGAATCAAGCAAGTATCACTTTCTTGCAACAGCACATATATAATATATCATAACTGTGATTCACAGTGAAGCTTCTAAGTTTCCATTCTAACCTTTTTCATTTAAGAGATTTAAAAATTCATCATTAAAATTAGTTAAACCAAGTTCTCAAGCAAAGAACTTACCAAAGAAAATATTTAAATTAATATCCTTGAGTCCAACAAGGCTTTCAACACTGTCTCTCACAATATTCTCAAAGGCAAACTCAGTAAGTGTGGACTGGATGAGGGGACAGTGAGGTGGATGGCATGCTGACTGAATGGCAGATCCTAGAGGATTGTAATCAGTGGCACAGGGTCTACTTGGAAGCCTGTCACTAGTGGTGTCCCCCAAGTTTCAGTACTAGGCCCAATATTATTTAACTTATTCATCAATGACTTTGATGAAGGGGCAGATGCCTCCTCAGCAATTTCACTGACGACACAAAGCTGGGAGGAGCGTCCGAAACCCCAGAGGCTGTGCAGACCTTCAGAGGGACCTCAACACGTTGGAGAGATGGGCAGAGAATTGTCTGAAATTCAATAAAGGCAAAGGCAGGGTCCTGCACCTGGGGAGGAATAATCCCAGGTACCAGTATAGGCTGGGGGCTGATCTGCTGGAGAGCAGCACTGTGCAGAAGGGGGTCCTGGTGGACAACAAGCTGTCCATGAGCCAGCAGTGCCCTTTTGGCCAAAAAGGCCAATGGTATCCTGGGGTCCATTTGGAAGAGCATTGCCAGCAGGTCGAGGAGGGTGATCCTGCCCCTCTACTCAACCCTGGAGAGGTCACACCTGGAGTGCTTTGTCCA